AAGGTTTCATAGGAACACTTACTTTCAGATAGAGGGAAAACCTGTATCTTCCCTAAGCCTGTTATTTGTCATCTTTTATTGACAAACATCTTTAATTTTGATATAGAATTAATATCTAAGTTTTCTCCATATAGTTTCTGCTTTGGAGTTTATTTAAGAAGCTCTTTCTGTCCCCCAGATCACATTATTCTCCATATTTCTATTAATTTTATAATATTACCTTTCACATTTAAGACCTTTAGTCCATTGAGAGACCATCTTTGGACATGATCCGAGTTAGGTATCCTGTTTTTCTCCATGTAAAAAGCCAGTTTACCAACACCACCTACTAAAACAAACACAGGATATTTGTATATTACTTAATTACTAAATACTTTACAGCTTTCACTGCTACTGTGAATAGTATCTTTTCCTTTTAATTACATTATCTAACTGGCTGCTGCTCTAGTGTTTTTTGTAATACACACATGCACCTGAACCTCTGAAAATACGACTTAAAAATAATGAGTTTCAGGGATGCCCTAGCTGGCTCAGTTGGTGAAGCATCCAACTCTCGATCTCAGGGTCATGAGTTCAAGCCTCGTTTTGGATGTAGAGATAACCTTATAAATATAAATAAGATAAAGTAAAAATGAGTTTTATTTCTCTTCCCAATACTGATATTCTCTTTTTCTTTCCTTATAGTCTAAATCAGAATTTCTAGTTCTATGTTAAGCAGTAACAGGATACTGGGCATAGTAAGTCTTAGTTAGGATACCAGTTTGGTAACCAAACTTTACTAGAGACCAAATAACAATGACTGAATAAGATGGAAGGTATCTTATTTCTTTTTAAATGTTTTTTTTATTTTGAGAAAGTGTGCATGTAAGTGGGGGAGGGGCAGAGAGAGGGAGAGAGAAAAATCCCAAGCAGGCTCTGTGACGTCAGCGCAGAGCCTGACACAGGGCTCAACCTCACCAACAGTGAGATCATGACCTGAGCCAAAACCAAGAATCTAAGGCTTAACTGACTGAGCCACCCAGGTGACCCAAAAGGTTTCTTTCTTATGTGAAGGACTGAGCTAGCAGGCAGTTCAGGAGATACGTGGCTCTGCCTTATGAAGTTTAATGTGCTTTTGATATTCTGCCCTTTCCCACATAGATGAAACAAGTTTGCCATGAGCACACACACATTCTGGCCCGTGGAAAAGAGGCAATTACAAGACGAAGGCAAGCCCTTTCCTTTTAAGGATGTGGCCTGCTAGTTGTAAACTACTGTTTCTATCCCACTGGTCAAAACTCAGTCCCATGTTCCAGTTGCAAGGTAGCCCGGAAAATACTGTCTCTTACCAATGAAACTACTGCCTAGCTAAAATGTGAGGGAACAGGGTTTCTGTTACTGAAGGAAGAAGTGGGGAGACGTATACTGTACAGCTGTCTTGCTCCCAAGTGATGCTATATAACCATTATCAAGTAAACGAAATTTCATTAGGAGTTTCTCTAATTGAAAATAGGTATATCACATATATCTTCTTTGCAATGTAGTAAGTATATCAATGGATTTTTGTGATGTTGATTACTATTCGTATGCATATAGGCACATGAGTGAAGAACTTATGACTGTACATAGTATTTAGTTATAACAAATATTTGACTCAAATCATATAGGGAATTCTGTTTTGCAGAACCTGAAGCACCGAAATAGTGAAAATTCAGGCTGCAGGAAGGGGATTAACATCAATTTTAAATCTTGCTATACATGCCTAGCAATCTGCATGTTATAATAAGAAATCCACAACATCTGAAAGCCTACCATGAGCCAAACTTATAAAAGAGTTATTACTATTCCCACTTTATAAGTAAACTGAGGCACACAAAAGTAATTTACTTAAAGCTATACAACCAGTAAGTGAAAAGACTAGGCTCCAAAGCCTCAGCTCTTCCTACTCTGTTAACAATGCCTCTCAGTGATTATTTTTTTCAACAGTGGTAACACATAGGAAGAACTGGGGGAATCAGTGCTTAATTCTTCCCTAAAATTTCAACTCAGTACCATAGGGAACCTTTTTATCTGCATGTAAAATTAAATTCTAATTTCTAGTAGAAAACTGGGATTAATATACAGAAATTCATTTTACTGTAGACTTTTTGGAAAACTCCTGTTTTATAAAATTAGGGATGCCAAAAGGCAGCAGATAGAAACAGTCCGTATGGAATTTGAAGGTGTTTGTACAATACCAAGGCGGAGCAAGAATCTAAGGAAAATGCAAGTTAGTCTGACATTTCCAAGATAAATATATATACATATATATATACATATATATACACATATATATGTATATATATATATATATACACACTTAAGAATGAGTACATATTCTTTATTCCAGTCTCTCAAGTTCAAAATCACTCAAGGTAAAGTGATGCAAGCAAGCTTTGTAAATCTCAAAAAAGTTTGCCTGAAATGAAATATATATGTGAAATCTGGGATTACTCGCTATCAAGGCTTTGCATATAGTTAACTAAAAACAGGCACAAGTCTTTTGATGGAAAAAGACAACAAGTGAAAAGACTTTGCAATGAAACAGTCTGTTTACTGGACTTAAGTAAACACCAAATAATTTATTTCCTGAAAACTGCTCTTTCTTTGTAATATACCATCTGTTGGCTCATACCAATAAGGCTAAACAGAAAAAAATATTTAAAATTCGTTCAAGACAAAGAAAAGGAATAACTCACCCATCAAATACAAATATACTATTTTATTCTAAGGGAATATTTCTGTGGTTTCTGCAAGGGGAAAACCCAAAGTGGTTAAAAAACAAAAAAGAACGGAAAGGATAATTTAGATGTTTCTCTCGTTTGTTTGATGTTTTCTCCCCTGGAAATAAAAATGCAATTTTACATAATTTTAATAAAATTTTAAAAAGCAAATAGTCTGACACACATATCAACAGCTACGCTTATGAAGAATGACCAATAATTAATCAAAATTTTCTTTTACGAATTTAGGATCTGGACAACTCTGCGGACTAACATGCAATTGAAGTCCTGATACAGTCATTTACCTGGGTATTGGCTGTTCTCAGTTAAAAGATACAGATTTCTTTTTCTCTCTGGTGTTTTATAACAATGTATCTACTATGCCAACAATATTTGTTCTTGATACAACTACAGAAGGGGAAATGTTAGTGTTTATACAAACCATAAAATTTGTATAGTGGGGGCTATTACACCTGATGTTTCTGGATAGTTTATTGGCAGACTTATCAGACAATCCAGTTGTTTTTCCTCCATATCAAATAAGATCTGGAAGTAAGAAGTTTTCCAGTCAGAAATGACAAACACAGATGGAATTAATCATACAGAATTGGGGCAGATTTACTTCTTTCACACAGTTCCTGGTAACCAAAATGAAATTTGTTACAGGCAGAGGGACAGAACCATCAAGTACACAACGCCAAGAGGCCTACTTTAAAATTTTTATTTTACTTAAATGACTTCCATTTATTTTAAAAAACCAAAACACCTGCTACGCCCATCTAAAAAAACGGGACAGATTGAAAAGTTTTCCAAGGTTAAAATTACTAAGAGGGTTTTTGGACTCTTCTCATTTCTATTACAGGGTCAAATTAACCTCAGCTAAAGAAATTCTGTGACTGGCCAACATCAGAAAAGCTTTGAGTCAAAATTTGGGGGGGAAGAAACTGCGAATGGAGATGAGGGAGATGGACTGATATGCCAAACACACCTATGACTTGCAGTCCTCATAGAACTAGTAAAACAGCTAGAGTTTGGAATAATGCTAGAAGCCCTGCTGTGGATATGCAAGACAGTCCATGTCTTTGTATCCTGACCCCAGAATCCCTATTTTCAAGTTTCTTAGGACAACAAGGTCATCTTCCAAATGCTTTATAGGAACGTACTAGGACCTTTTCTACCATAATTCTGATAACTAAGTAATACTGTGTCCTTGTGGAATCATCCACAGGTTTGCCAGAGTGAGAGAGACTTTTCTTTTTGAAATGACAAGGGCCTCCAGAAACTGGTGCAAAAGACAAATAAGAAGATTTGGGAAATAGGAAGATAAAACAATGGGAGAAAAGCTGCCATTTGGGGATAAAATGAAAACAAAAGGAGAACCCCCATTTCTGTGTACCACAGCTCATGCTATGAGACAGCAGCAATAAAGGCTGACACCCAGAGAAGTGGGCATTTTAGTGGGTTTTCTACAAACATTTCAAGACACTTGGGGTCTAATGGGCTCCACAGATTTTCTGTGTGCATAATCAGTTTGTGGAGTATCAGCCCCTTTACCTCAATTTACCCACAGCCAGACCCACAGCTGAGAAGGCTAGACCCAGAAAGTGAAAGGGACATATTACTCTGTGAACAGCAGTGAAGGCCTTTTTCCCTGATGTGAGGGGCCTATGGCAAAAGCACCAGAGGCTTCTATCCTTCACAGAATTGGCTTGGCAGTGAAAATCAAAATCAAGACCACTTCACTCTCTACCTTTTAAAAAAAAAGTTGAGTATTTTTATTGGGTCTTCAAGTCTGGGTCCCACGGTCCTCATCTGATGTCACTCTTAGCTCTGCACTGACTTCTCCCCTGACGTGCACATAGGGCTTGCCTATGTAGCCTACTACAGCCAAGGTCTTACTCCAAAGCTACCTCTCTAAGGTCTAAGGTTACTATGGTAGAGTTTTATACAACAGTTTTCCTTAAAAATATTCCACAATTTGTTATTCCCAAACAAAATAAGATTATGCACCACTCAGAGAAATTGGTTAGTCATTCTGAAGATGTCTAAGAACTCTATCACTGCCAAAGAACAACATTTCTTGGTTCATATTCTTTCCTTCAATTTTCATTTGTACATCCACACTGTGGTTCACGAGTCATCTGTTTTCCATTATCTTGTAATCAAGTCAAGAGGACTTGTACATCGTTTTCCAAAGCTGGATGCATTCACAGTTTGGTGCATACCCACGTGTATGAAAATAGGAACCCCACGTCCACTTTAATCTGATAACTCAACATCAGAGTCTTCTGATTTGGCTTTGGCAAGTTCTTCGTGTACCTCCCTCACCATGAGAATACGTGTTAACATGGTGTCCAGGGTCCCAGGGTCTATTGGGAATGTGGAGTACCACATGGGGCTGTTCGGAACACAGGAGCGCTCAGGTTGCAGGTAAAACACGTCATTCCTCTGCTTCACACTTTCAGAACTATCCACAGGGGATAAAAAAGAAAGAAAGAAAGAAAGAAACTAAGAAAATTGAGGATCAGAAAGTATAGGAAATACGTAACTACTCTTTCATATAGTGACTCTCACCTTTTTCCCTACTGTGACTAATGTCCTAGATAAGCAATGTACCCACTGAGATAAATCAGTTTACAGGCATCTTCCCCCCAGGTGCAACCGGTAACTGCACATTTTTTTTCTCCTACGCTCACTGGAGGTGAGTGTAATGTTAACAGAAGACACAGTGTAAATCGTTCACAAATTGAAAGATTTAAAACATTATTAGGAGTAACAAAAAATTCAACTCACATGTAACACTATGGCTGAGAACCACATATCCTCAGTGCCCAGTATCCTGGAATGACCCCCAAGAGCACTCAATACACATTACCATGGGGCAAACCCAAGCCACTGTATTTCTTTGAGAAAAAAGTGCTTTTGTGTGGATCTTATAACTCTAAAGTCTTAAAGTTTCTGAAAGAAAAAGACCTCAAACATATAAATTCCTTAAAAATAAATTGTTTTTCCATTTATAGGTTTAGGAGTACAACTTCTCCTCTAAATTTTTCTATATAAACAGTAAAATCACAACAGTTTCATTATCACATAAAGGCTGAGCAACAGTTGTAAAGATCAAACTACAGCTGTGGTTCTTGATTTTGAAGAGCTTTTCAGGAAAAAAAAAAAAAATCAAGATAAAGCAATGTGTTTTGGGGTCCAAAATCAGGCAGATATGAGAATAGGGAAAAAAAGGAAATTAAAAGGACATCCTTATCTACAGTCATAAGCTGGCTACATTTCTGATATTCAAGCATCTGAAATCGGAACCATGCTAACTACTGTTTGAAGTGTGCTGGATCTAGTCCAGAGGAAGACTGCTTACCATTTTGACAGGTAAAACTCATAAAGTCGGACTGGGCATCTTAGTGGATTGTCAGTATTCTCTGCCATCTCCACACCCACGGGGACCTCGTCATCTTCATTTCGTTTCCTCTTGCCAATAGCCAGTTTATCTTGAGATGGGAAATAATTATCAAAAGATCAGAAAAATCTTTACTCCCATGCTCAAGACATCCACTGAGCTTTGTCTCCGGTCAGAACTGTCACTCCCTTTCTCCTCCCTTTCACTTAGTCATTCAACAAGCATGACCTATGCAGGTGCTGGAGAGTAATGTAAGTACTAGGTAATAGCACTGAACAAAACAAAGTCCCTGTTCTATAAAATTTATGTTCCCCTGCTTACAAAGTGAGCCAAATGCATGGTACTAGAGAGTTAGGTCTTACTTTTGAGCCTGACTTTGTTACGAAATTTTATCACGTGTATCTTAAGCCATAGCAAGGTAAAGCAGGAACAAAAAGGGTTCAGACAGAAGAGATCAAGGTATAAGTTGTCACCTAGTTATCTGAAAATATTTTCACTGTAGAAAACGGTTTTTCAAGTTTCTTTTATTTGTCAGTTTTATGAGAAATGGGATCTTTGCTGGGAAAAGAAATTCTCAGTAAAGTTGGCCATTTGGTAAGAAAGGAGCAAATCCTTTTTCACCAACAGAATTTTGTGGAGGCTAAGGGTTATCAAAAAGAAACCAGGGTGAAAACATGGAAAGTAAGGCTTTTTCTTTCCCACCTTCTCCATTCAGGCTTCAAGAGAATAGCAGTGGGTGGTGGATCTGCTGTGAACCTGAGGAAAAAGGTTTTCTTCTTCTTTTCTTACAGCTGCTCTGAATAGCTGGCAAAGAACTTTCCCCAGCTTCCTGTATTAGTTATTACTTAAAATTCACCCCAGTCTTCTATTTAGAGGATACCTAAATATAAAGAGTTGCTCATTCAGAGAAGAAGCTAAACTTACTACCAATCTTGTCAAGCACCTCAACAGAAAGCGGAAATGTAACCTGAATGCCTCTCCCTCCCACAATATTTATTAAGAGCACAAAATGGGTTATATATGAACAAAATGAAGGAGATAGGACATAGATATAATAATAGTTATATTTTCTAAAGAGAAAGGGCAAATGACAAAAAAGTTAACACAAACATGAACATCACAATTATTCTTTATAGATTTTAGTTTCAGTGATTTTATTTTTTTTCTTTTCTTTTTTTTTTTAATTTTTTTTTTCCAACGTTTATTTATTTTTGGGACAGAGAGAGACAGAGAATGAACGGGCGAGGGGCAGAGAGAGAGGGAGACACAGAATCGGAAACAGGCTCCAGGCTCTGAGCCATCAGCCCAGAGCCCGACGCGGGGCTCGAACTCACGGACCGCGAGATCGTGACCTGGCTGAAGTCGGACGCTTAACCGACTGCGCCACCCAGGCGCCCCTAGTTTCAGTGATTTTAAATGCTCACATTCAAAATATGTATTTCACTCTTATCCCAAGGAAGTAATAACTTGATTTTGGGAATTTTAGAACTTACAATTTTGGTCAAAATTGATACATTTATTTTCTAGTTCCATAATACATTAATTTTTTTAATGTTAAAAACAAACTATTACTTAATAGGCTTTTTTGGAATGTAAGATAAACCTTCTACGAAAATTGTCACTGCTGGTATTATTCTACTGTGTACAAAAGCAATACAGATCTTCCTTGACCACGATGGTGTTACAACCTGATACAGCCATCCTAAGTCGAAAATGCATTTAATACATGTAACCTACTGAACATCATAGCTTAAACATGCTCAGAACACTTATACAGTCTACAGTTGGGCAAAATCTTCTAATACATATAATAAGCCTATTTCATAATAAAGAACTGACTATCTCATGTAAATGATTAAATACGGTACTGAAAACACAGAATGGCTGAATGGGTGCAGAATGGCTGTAAGCATATGGGTTGTTTACCCTCGTGATCATGGGGCTGACAGGGGGCTACAGACTGCTGCTGTCAGCACCACAAGAGAGGATCATACTGTATTCCACTAGTTTGAGAAAATATCAAAAGTCAAAATTCAAAGCATAGTTTCTACTGAATGTATATTGCTTTCTCAGGATTGTAAAGTTAAAAAATTATTAAGTCAAACTCCATCTGTATACTCTAGGCCAGGTTCTAAGGTTCTGCAGAAACAGATAGTTAATGTGAACTAAAAAGTGGTGCTCTGGTTAAAAAAAAAAAAAAAAAAAAAAAAAAAAAAAAAAAAAAAAAAAAAAAAAAAAAAGATTTAGAAACAGATTTAAAAATTAGGCAAGTTCCTTTTACCTAGCAATTGGCCACTCTGTTGCCTCTAAATCAGTGATTCTGATCCTTAGCTGCAGATTTTAATTCCCTGGGAAGTTGTAAAATGCAAATTATTTGAGGGGCACCTGGGTGGTTCAGTCAGTTATGCGTACGACTTGGATTCAGGTCATGATCTCACGGTTCACAAGTTTGAGCCCCGTGTCAGGTTCTCTGCTGTCAGTGCAGAGCCTACGTCAGATCCTCTCTCTCTCTCTGCCCCTCCCCCACTTGCACATTTTCTCTCTCTCTCTCTCAAAAATCAACAATTAAAAAAAAGAAAAGGAAAAATGCAAATTATTCGGGCTCTAATCTTGACCAATTAAATCAGAATTTCTAGTTTATTTATTTATTTTTTAATTTTTTTTAACGTTTATTTATTTTTGAGACAGAGAGAGACAGAGCATGAACAGGGGAGGAGCAGAGAGAGAGGGAGACACAGAATCTGAAACAGGCTCCAGGCTCTGAGCTGTCAGCACAGAGCCCGACGCGGGGCTCGAACTCACGGACCGTGAGATCATGACCTGAGCCGAAGTCGGACGCTTAACCGACCAAGCCACCCAGGCGCTTTCTAGTTTAAAAGCCAATAAAAGTATAGGGAGGCAAGTGATTCCTCTCATTTTGTGGCAAGCCTTTAACCTAACGCTGACAATAAAAAAGCATCTAAATTTTAAATTAAAGTTACACTCTTCCGTGTCTAGAGTTTACAGTTACTCTTCTGTGATAAGTCTATTTGAATACCAACAGGGCTTCAAACGGAAATCTCACAAACTCCCCCACACACCTGGTTCTGACTCCTGCTTTTGTAAAGGTGGGAAGAACCTCAAATATGTCATCTTGGTGCTGTACTTCAGAGTCCTGGTCCGTCTCATCACATGGGCAAAGGAAAGCTTCAAGTGCTCAGTAACATTCTTGAGTTGAAAGTATTTGGTATTGAAGAAAAGGAGGGTGTTCAAGAGGACAATTGGTGAGTAAGCGCCCAGCTGTTTGCATTCCCACAAATGCTCTTCTTCAATGCGAGAAAACATGTAACCTGCACCAGAAGGAGGACAGAAGTAACAGTACTAAGCTCCTGCTAAACAGGACTAAATAATTTCTCCAGTTCTCAGATAGGAAGATATAAAGGAAATGACCAATTGCTCCCATCTTTCCCCTGCTCCCTTATATGGAAAACCAAAAAAAATACCACAAAAGAAAAAAAGATGTCTGTCTGAGGCAGACAGACACTGGGAGCAACCCCCTGAAACAGTTTTAATCTATTGTTATTTTAGACCAGGGTTTGGCAAACTTTTTCTATAAAGAGCCGGATGTAAATATTTTAAGTACTGTGGGCCATTCAGGCTCTGAACAACTTTGTTGTTATTGAAAATAAGGGGCAGCAGAAAACACATAAACAAATAGCTGTGGCTATATACCAATTAAATTTATTTATACATACAAATATGAATTTTATATAATTTTCATTTACCACAAATTATTATTATCTTTACATTTTGTCCCGACCATTTTTAGCTCATGGACTATCCAAAAACAGGCAGCAGGCCAGATTAAGCAGTTTGTAGACTCCTGTTTGAGAGTATTAGGCTTACTGTTAACTGGTTCAGTTTTATTTTAGCTAAGAACATTAGAAGGCAGATAGTTCCTTCACTCCCTCACACTCCCTCGTATTTTAAATTTACATTAAGAGTAATTACTTCATGATGACTTTTATGGGATTTTTCTCGAAAAGCAGATGTCTTACAGAAGAATTAAGATGAATATACTGTTAAATGTACACTCCTCATGTCAGCCCTTAAATGCAGGTCTTCCCTTATGTTCTCTGAACAATCCTCTTTGCTGCTGCTTATGCATTCTATTCCTGGGAGCCTAACCATAAACATGAATTTATTACTTCCAACTCTATCTCCCTAGCTGCCTCTTTGAATGCTAACTGCATCAAGCCACCACCCTACTCAGAATCCTTCAAAGTTGCTCTACAACCCAACCAAAGAGGCAAAAATTCCTGAACATCACATTCAACCTCTCCATTCACAGCCAAGGAGCCCAAGACTAGGAGTAAATTAGGGAGCTGTCCAACAACATATGGTCAAAGACAATTCAAGGATGAAGATTTAACTCTTGTAATAACCCATACAGGGTATTTATAATAAACTGCTGAAGAAGGACCACTGCTAACAGGTAGTGTCTACAAGTAAAGTATGTGCCAGCTACTGGTATAGTGTGCAACTACACTACCAATATCGGACCAAAAATGGTTTCTAAGAAGTAAATACAACCTCCAGTTGTTTTTTTTTTTTTTTATTTTCAATGGTATATACCTATACATACACTATATGGAAGTTATAATTCTACTTAAATAATAAGCCAAAGACTTCCTCCTCAAAACTCCAAATATCTCATGAATCAAGACAGAAACATAAATGAACAGTTTATAAAAAGATAATCATAAAAATTAACCAATTTAAGAATGCATATCAAGAAAAGAATCAAAATAAAAAATAAGCATCCTACCATTAGGAAGTATTGTAGGTTCCCATATTTTCAAGAGTTTGGTAAGTTCAATCATAAATCTGGAATAGGGCTCAGTAAAAATATTATCTATTCTACCATTTTCAAACAGGTACTACAAGAGAAAAAATGGAAACATATATGTTGATACAAAGAAAACACAAGTTTTTTTTTTTTTTTAAGATTATTTTAAGGAATAAAGTTGACCCTTAATTTTTGCCGTTAACGTTATGAACCATTTTAAGAACACATCTTAAAATACCAGGATTTAAGCTATAAAGGTTCTTTTCTTTTTTTTTTTTTTTTAAGTTTATTTATTTATTTTGAGAGAGATAGAGATAGTATGAATGGGGGACGGGCAGAGAGAGAGAGAGAGAGAGAGAAAGAGAGGGAGAGAGAGAGGCTGCCAGTGTGGAGACCAATGTGGGGCTCAAACCTGTGAAGGCATGAGATCATGACCTGATCTGAAACCAAGAGTCAATGTTTAACCAACTGAGCCACCCAGGTCCCCCTATAAAGGTCCTTTTCATATGAACTGTCCTTGTCTCAAGCACTGAGCTTGCAAGGTAAAATTTTCTCAGTTCATAAAACTGATATACCAAAAATTGGTTCTAGTTTGGTATTTTCCAAATCCTTTTCGAATTCAAAGGATCTATCTGCAAATGTGTTCTCAGAAGGTTTTGGGTTTTTTAGCACAGTTACAAGATCCCTTCCTGAAATAATATAGTTAGCTAGTGTCAGGTGACCTAAGGATAGCCAAATTTTAAACCACAGCTCTCAACTCTCTACCCCACAACCCAGACTTCAAAAAGTTCAAGTCTAATTATAGGATGTAAAACTATGCTAATTATAACCATCAAGAACCATATCACAGAATGGGGAAACAAGAAACAGTTTGGGTAAACTACTGTTAAAAAACATCTTGAAGGTGCAGGGTAGGTCAAATGAAATCACTCAGGGAAATACAACACAAGGTATAATTACATGCTTAAAATCTTTTGGTGTTTTTTATGATTTGGGATTTCTAATTTATTTATCTATAGATATTTTGGTTTTCTGCTTTTCTAGCCAATGTATGACCTGGAGAAAAATTGTATTGCCAGTCAAATCTTGTTTTGGCTAATAAAAATTATATACCATTTCAACATGCATTTCTATAGGCCTCTTCAAAGGCAATTCATGCCACTGCCAGATTATAGTTTTATTGTTGAGAAGTGTTCATCTTTTTCTTCTTTTAAAGTTATTTTCACAATGTAAGCATAATAAATCTTCATTATGGAAAAAGTTTAAAATACAGAAAACGTGGAAGAATGACATGCTCCCAACTCACTAAACATCAGAAACACACAGAGTTGAGTTTTATACATTTACTCAAACATATGAGTACATATAAAATCCATGTTTTTTAAATTACTTCCCCCTTAGATCAGGAACACGACAAAACTGCCTGTTCTTGCCACTTTCATTACTGTACTTGAAGTCCTAGCCAGAGTAAGCAGGCAGGAAAAACAAATAAAAGGCATTCAGACAGGAAAGGTCCTAAGGAGTAAAAATATCTCCATTTACAAATGACACGAGCCTATATAGGGACAATTCTAAAGAATACACACATACACGCGCACACACAAAATTGTTATTAGAGTTAATAAATGAATTCAGCAAAGGATACAAGCAACACAAAAATCACTTGCAATGAATAATCCAAAAAGGAAATTAAGAAAACAATTCAATTTACAATCGTACTGTAAAGAATACTCAAGAATAAATTCAACAAAGGAGGTACATGACTTATACAGCTAAAGGTAGAAAAAAACAAAAACAAAAAACTGCTAAGAAATTAAAGACCTAAGTAAAACATCTCATATTCATGGATTTGAAGATAATATTGTTAAAATGGAAAAATTCCCCAAAGCACTCTAAAGATTCAGTGCAATCCTAATCAAAATCTCAATGGCTTTTTTTCTTTTCTTGCATAAAGGGAAGGAAAGGCCAATCCCAAAATTCATATGGAATTACAAGGAACCTCAAATCACCAAATAAATCTTGAAGAATCATACTTCCTATTTCAAAATTTATTACAAAGCAACAGTAATCAAAATAGCATGTATCACCATAGGAATAACCATATAGACCAATGTATCAGAATTGAAAGTCCAAAATAAACACATAAATTTAGTCAAATGTTTTTCAATAAGGATGTCAAGACTGTTCAATAAAGAGACAACAGTCTCTTCAATAAATGGTGGTAGGAAAACTGGATATCCACATATACAGTTATCCCTAAGTCAGATGTATCCCTACCCTACGTGAGATATAAAACTGAATTCAAAATGGATCAGTGACTTAAACATAAGAACTAAAAGCCAAAAACTTAAAAGAACACATAGAGGTAAATCTTTATGAACTTGAATTTGACAATGGATTCTTAGATGATGACACCAAAAGCACAAGCAACAGAAAAAATAAACTGAACTTCATCAAAATCCAAAATTTCTGTGCCTCAAAGTAGAAGACTGAAAAGAAAACTCAGAGACTAAGAAAAAATATTTGCAAATCACGTATCTGTCAGAGTTTAATATCCAGAATACATAAGGAAATCCTACAACTCAACAACAAAAAAACAAACAACAAATTAAGAAATGGAGCAAAGGACTTAAATATTTATCCAAAGAGGATACACAAATGGCCAACAAATACATGGAAAAATGTTCAGTGACATTAGTCATTAGGAAAATGCAAATCAAAACCATAATGAGATACTACCTCATACCCATCAGATAACTTTTAAAAAAAAAAAAAAGGAAATTAACAAACATTGGCGAGAATGGAGAGAACAGACCCTTTGTACACTGCTGCTGGCAACATAAAATGGTGCAGTCACTGTGGAAACTGTTTTGGTGGCTCCTCAACAAGCTTATCATGGAGTTCCTATTTGACCATGTGGTTCCACTGGTAGGCACAGACCCAAAAGAAAACAGATGTTCAAACAAAAATTTGTACATGAATGTTCACAGTATCATTCACTATTTGTAATAACCAAAAGGTAGAAATAACTCAAATGTCCACAAACAGATGGATAAGAAAAATGTGGTATATCCAAAAATGAAATAATTCAGCCATAAAAAGGTACTGATTCATGCTACACAGGTTAAACCTGGAAGAAGCCAGACACAAAAGGCCACATAATTGTATAATCCTGTTTATATGATATATCCAGAACAAGGAAATCCACAGAGATAGAAAGCAGATTCATGGTTGCCAGGCACTAAGCAGAGGAAGTAATAGGGAGTGGCTGCTTAATGGGTTATGAGATTTCCAGTTAGGAAAACACAGTGATATTTTGGAAAAACACAGTGATGACAACTGCACACCATCATGAATGCACTTAAGGACACTGAACTGTACATTTTAAAATGGTAAGCTTTATAATATGTGTATTTTGCCACAATATAAATAAATATTGCACAACACAGTCGTGCAAGTTACTTTAAAAATATGTCTCTTGGGGGCAGGCACCTGGGTGACGCAGTCGGTTAAGGGTCCAAATTCTGCTCAGGTCATGGCCTGATGGTTCACAATTTCCAGCCCCACGTCAGGCTTTTTGCTGATAGCTCAGAGCCTGGAGCCTGCTTCAGCTTCTACGTCTCCCTCTCTGGCCCTCACCCACTCAACACACTCTCTCTCTCTCTCTCAAAAGCAAATAAACCTTAAAAAAACTTTTTTCAATGTGTCTCTAAGAGTTTTCCATGCAAAAATGTGTAAGAGCAATTCATTGCTTTTTAACTATTGTATGGTATTTAACAGTACAGACATATTATAGTTGATTGAACATTACTGTTTTAATGAACACATAGGTGGTTTCCAATTTTTTGCTGTTGAAAAAGTTATAATAAAAATACCAGTCTATGTACATGTGTGCATTTCTTGGGGGAGAAATACTGATCAATGGATTTGCTACACTGAAGAACCTACAAGCATATTTTTTAAATGTTTATTTATTTTTGAGGGAGAGACAGACTGTCTGTGGGGGAGGGGCACAGAGGGAGACACAGAATTAGGAACAGGTTCCAGGCTCTGAGCTGTCAGCACAGAGCCCGATACAAGGCTCGAATCATGAACCGAGAGATCATGACCTGAGCCGAAATCGGATACTTAACCAACTGAACCACCCAGGTGCCCCGAATCTACATGCATTTAATGTTTTATTTGCCACATCAACTTGCCCTCTGAAAAGGCCTCCAACAGTAATATGTTTTCATTAATACTTGGTATTATTGAACTTCTCAACCTTTCAATTTTTAATCAGTTTAATGGGTGACATTTTTCCTTGATTATAGTTAAGTAACCTTTTACATCAGGGAGATAGTCCAACACAGTGATCTTAAGAATGGACTCTGGGGGCGCCTGGGTGGCTCGGTCGGTTAAGCGTCCGACTTTGGCTCAGGTCACGATCTCACGGTCCGTGAGTTCGAGCCCCGCGTCGGGCTCTGTGCTGACAGCTCAGAGCCTGAAGCCTGTTTCAGATTCTGTGTCTCCCTCTCTCTCTGCTCCTCCCTTGTTCATGCTCTATGTCTCAAAAATAAATAATCGTTAAAAAAAAAAAAAATTAAGAATGGACTCTGAAAATAAATTACCTGGATTCACATCCTGGCCCTGCCACTTACTACATTTGAGGCCTTAAACAATACTTTAACTCACTGTGCCTCAACAGAAAATGGTGATGATAACAGTCCTTATGTATCAGAGGGGCACGCTCACAAGTGAATGAGTTAATATATGAAATAAGCTTATATTAATAATACACACAGCATACACAGTAAATGACTGTTAGACATTCCTAACACATTTTGCCTGTTAGCTGTATGTTAATTCTGCTATTTGCCTATTTATTTCTTTTTGCCAATTCCCCTTCTCAGCTAATGTTAACAGTGGTGGTACAGGTGTTGATATTATGGTTGGGTTTAATTTATTTCTTTACACTTTAATGTATTTTCAAAATTCTTTACACTTAGCATAACCATTTTTATAATCAGGAAAGAAAACAAAACAGGAAGCACATCTAAGATGTGAGCTTAAGTTACATTTTAAAATTCCTTATGGTTAAGGAAAGTTTAT